AATAGGTTTGACTTAACACTGTCAAAAGTAAGGGTATCACTACTATTACCATACAGCATAATTTCTTTGAAATGCTTGTATGATTTAGGGAGAGAGACAAGCAATAAAATAGCACGATCCTCATCGTCAATTACGACATCAATATTTTCCAAGTCCAATAAAATAGAATTGAATTCATCCAAGTGAGACTTAATAGAAGTACCTTCCGTCATACAGATTGTGTATAGACGCTCCTTTAGGCGTAGCATGTTCGCCAGAGTTTTGGCCATGTAAAGCGTATCCAGCTTGGACCATAAATCTGTAGCAGTTGTCTCACTTACTACCTCACGTAGAACCTCTTTAGACAGGCACAAAAGAATGGTTGGACATGCCTTGTCATCCAAATCTTCCCAAGTTTCATCTGTCATTGTAGCTGGTTTCTTCTTCTTCTTCCCAGCTAGAGCTTTCTTCAAACCGTTTTGGGTTAGAACGGCTTCCATCTGAACCTTCCAAATAGAAAAGCTAATTTTCCCGTCGAACTTCTCGATATCGAACTTGGTAACAATCGACATCTTTGAAAATAATTCTCAAATAAACTTGACTTTGATACCACTTGTTAGGAATATAGCGGAATAATGCGGAAGCAAAGAATAAAAAATTGAGAATTATAGAAGTTAAATAATAGGGAAAAATATAAAACGATAAAATATAATTACTAAAATGGGAAAGTATAATATATATATATATATATATATATATATATATATATATATATATATATATATATATATATATATATATATATATATATATATATATATATATATATTAATCTCTTAAAAGGAGAAAACAAAGAAGGAAAGAAGAAGAATGAATTTAAATGTTAAATTGATGTGATTACAAAAGCAAATCAAACATGCTATTTATACATTCTAAATGAGAAGAAAAAACGCCATTAGCACTTGCTATGCGGGAGATTATTGCGGCAATAGTGAGGGAAGTGGGAAATGGAGAAAAACTGCATGGCGAGTGGTCTTAATGTAGGAATTTGAGCCACACAATATTTATATCCTAACAATATATTTTTTTTTCTTTTTTTTTTTTTTTTTTTTTGGAATAAGAGATTCGTGGTTTTCGTGGCTTATTGTGTTCTTCATCTTTTCTATATCTTCTTTATCTATGATAAGCTTAATTTCTAGGCATTATTTAGAGTAATTTTAGTTAGTGAGTTGCATAAATAAATTAAGTTTTAGGGTCTATTTTATAATAAATATTATATTATCTATATGTTACTAGTGTAGATGGGTTTTAATAAGTATTTGGTTAATGTTGCATTTTTAGTAATATAAATAGGATTTTAATTATAGTAGTATACTTATTTGTTAGTCTTATATTCAATTTTAAATAAGTGTTTTAATAATTAAGTTTTATTATGTTGGGATTAGGTTATAATTGTTTGGCTTTAATTTAATTTTGTTTTCTTTTCTTTTAGGGATTTGCGCAGCATTGAAAAAAGATAGAGATTAAGGTTGGCTTTGGTTTTTATTGGGGTTCGGCAGAACATAGAGAAAAAGGAGCAAAAATAAAAGCAAGGGAAAAGAGGAGATAGTCGAAACAGAATAGAACGAAAGAAGAGAGCAACGGGCGGCGTACGTAGCAGCGACAACGGAGCTTCAATCGCGGGTATCTTCTTCTTAGGCTTGAATTATTTTCCTTCGTCTTTATTTTTATTCTTACTTAAATTTCCAGAATACTATTTATTGAATAATTTATGCATTTAATTATTATGATTATTGGCTAGAACTTAAATTAGGGATTTGGATTAGCCTAAATTAGATTAATTGACTATTATTCAAATGTGTTGATTCTTCTAATTTCAGTTTAATAATTGAATTTGATTATATTTATTTTATGTATTTTAATTGTGGATTGTGTGACTGGCCATTGCATAATTCTAATATTAGGGTTCATGAGAAGAACTGACAGGTGAATTATGAACCTAGAACTCGTAAGATAAACACAATTGACCTAAACTAGACATAGCTTTAGGTATTTGTGGTGATATTTGATTGTTGCTTAATGGGTTTAATTAATGTTGGTGAGATATCGACGGATGATCACAGTTAATTGGATACAACCTAGTAGCTCGACGGAGTATTAGGATATATTTGAAACAATCATCACTATAGTCATAAGAATTAATACTTAGGAGAGTTAGTTAATTATCTAATAGGTGAACCCAAATCCCTAGTCTTCTCTCAATTGAAACTTCCTTTATTTTGAATTCATAAAATATTCTTTTTAATCACATTAATTCTATTTATTTGAGATTTTCCTTATCAACAATTTGATTATTAAATATAACAGTTAATAGTGTTCTTCATGGGATCGACCCTGGAATACTCCAGGAATTTATACTGTGATTGACTCTTTGCACTTGCAGATTATAGCAATCAAGTTTTTGGCGCCGTTGCCGGGGACACTTGATTAAACTGTTTTCCTTAAAATTTTCTTTTCAAATTTGTTTTTTTTTAGGTTGTTAGGTTCGTTATTATTTTATTTTTATTTTTATTTATTTAGTTTTTATTTTTTCTATTTTTATTTTATTCTGTTTATGAACTTAAGGCGATCACTGAGGCATAAAAACGCGGAATTATTTCCTATTGATCTTGAAATTGAGCGTACTTGCAGAAAAAACAGGGTACGAAGGCGGCTTGAAATGGCTGAGAACAATAGAGTGGGTCAACTGGATGACCCCGTACCACCAATAGTTCCACCTCCTCAAAATCATGCAGCTCAACCACGTCTTCGTGACATCCAAAGACCGGTAATAGCTGTTAACCCTTCTTGCATTCAATTATCTGATGCAGCTAGAAATTGTGAACTCAAGACTTTCCATCTGAATATGCTCCCTACCTTTAACGGTTTGGGAAGTGAAGATGCTTTGGGTTTCATGCGAGAGCTCTATAGTACGGTACAAACTTTACCTTTAAATAATTTATCTGAAGAAGAGCTTAGAATGAAATGTTTTCCATATTGCATGAGGGGCGATGCTAGGCAATGGTTGTTAAATTTACCAGAGGGTTCTTTAAGAGTTTGGGATGATGTTTACAATGCTTTCATGTTTAAATATTATTCATCTCAAAAGACAATGGACTATAGGAGTAGGATATGCACTTTCACTCAAAGAGAGGGTGAATTATTTCATGAAGCATGGGATCGTTTTAAATTGCTTTTGACACAATGTCTACACCATCAATTCCCATTGTTATTGTTGACACAATTCTTTTATGATGGTTTAACTCCTAATTGTCAGTCTCTTGTAGATACTGCTGCAGGTGGATACACAGGTGATAAAAATAGTGATGAATTAGAAGCTATCTATGAGAGCTTAACTACTAATTCTCGACAAAAGGCAGTGAGAGGTCGAAGGACTGCTGTGCATGAAATTAGCACACAATCTGAGTTGACAACACAAGTGGCTGAATTGACTAAACAGATGAACTTATTGATGACTCGTGATAGTTCGAATAGAGAATTTTGTTCTTATTGCAATACATATGGTCATAATTCTTCTGTTTGTATGAATGCAGAGTCATCACAACCATCTTATGAGGAAGCTTATTACATGGGATCCAACAACCAAGAAATGATCCATTTTCTAATACATATAATCCAGGTTGGCGAAATCACCCTAACTTCTCATGGAGAGATCAAGGTAATGCAAGACCAATGGGACCACCCGGATTCCAGCAACAAGGACCATCAGGATTCCAGCAGCAGCAATACAGACCTTTCCAGCAGCCACCTGCACCACAACAGTCTCAACTTCCTGCTCAGGAGAAAAAGCCTCAATTGGAAGAGATGTTTATGCAATACATGGCTAGCCAGGACACGATGATGAAGAAAATGGATGCAAAGATTGATAAGGTTGCACAGTCTAACCAAGCATCCATTCATAATTTAGAGGTGCAAGTAGGTCAGTTGGCTAAATTGGTTGCAGAAAAAGATCGGGGTAAGTTTCCTAGTACCACTGAAATAAACCCTAGGGAAGGAGCTATGGCTGTCACCTTGAGAAGTGGTAAGATATTGAATGAAATTATGAAAGAAAATGAACCCACGAGGGTTGAGAAAGAGAGTGATAAAGAAGAGGATCAAGTGCCTAAAGAGAATTCTAGTGATCAAAACCTCAATTCCTCTATAGTAAAACCTTATGTACCCCCCATTCCATATCCACAAAGGTTACAAAAGAGGAACCAGGACAATAACTTTAAAAGATTTTTGGAGGTTTTTAAAAAATTGCAGATTAATATTCCTTTTGCAGAAGCACTTGCTAATATGCCATCTTATGCCAAGTACATTAAGGAAATAATGTCTAATAAAAAGAAATTGGAAGAGTTTGCTACTGTGCACCTAAATGAGGAGTGTAGTGCTATTTTGCAAAGCAAGTTACCTCCTAAGTTAATGGATCCAGGAAGTTTTTCTATTCCTTGCACTATTGGTAATACTGTTATTGATAAATGCTTATGTGATCTAGGTGCTAGTATTAACCTTATGCCTTTAACTCTTTTCAAGAAGTTGGAAATAGCTGAAATGAAGCCAACAACAATCTCTCTTCAAATTGCTGATAGATCAGTCAAGTACCTGCTTGGAGTAGTGGAGGATATCTTGGTAAAAGTTGGTAAATTTTATTTTCCTGCTGATTTTCTGATTCTTGACATGGGTAGTGATACAGATACATCTCTTATACTTGGTAGACCATTTTTGTTAACAGGAGGAGTATTAATTGATATGCCTTTAGGGAAATTGATTTTTAGAGTAGGTAAAGAAAAAGAGGAATTCTCTATATCTAAAGCTGTAAAATTACCAACTTTTGATGAATCATGTCTTTTTGTTGATGTTATTGAGAAGCCTTCAGAAGAAGAATTTGTTAAGCATTCACCTAGTGAAACACCACATCAACTTGAACTTAAACCACCTTCATTGCGGTTCAAATACGAATTTTTTAGTAACAATGATACTTTTCTTATGTTTTCTTATGCTCATTTACTTCATGCAAAAGAAGAGAGATTGTGGAGAACATTGAGTAAAGCTTGGCATGACAAAAATAATTTTTGGAGAGAATTCAATGTAGGGCAAGAAGTTTTGTTGTCTAATTCTTGTCTTAAGTTTTTTCTAGAGAAGTTGAAGTCTAGATGGTTTGGTCCTTTCATGGTCACTAAAGTTGGTTCGTATGAGGCCATAGCGATTGCAAGAGAGAGAAAGAGACCATTCATGGTTGCTTCACCAAAAGGCAGCCCCGGAAGAAACTGGCAACTAACAGGGAAGTTTCCTGTTTATTTCATTTTCTCATACTTGCTTTTATATTTAACATTGAGGACAATGTTGAGTTTGAGTGTGGGGAAGGGACAGTAAGATTAGGGGATGTTTTATGCAAAATAGGCAATATCAAAAAAAATTCTGCATTTTTCTTGCAATTTTCTGCAACATTTTCTGCATTTTTCTATTTTTCTGCATTAATTTTCTGCATTTTTTCTGGAATTTTCTGCATGCATTTTTCTATTTTTCCTGCACTAATTTTCTGCATTTTTATGGAATTTTCTGCATCTTTTCCTTCATTTTTCTGCAATTTCTTAGCAAATTAAGTTTAAAAACTACCATCTAATGACTATGTTGGTTGGGAGATAATTTCTAGTGTTTTGGGAGTGCATAATATCAATGAATGTGTTTGGCTATATGTATGCTTGCATAGAGTTAGTAGTCAAATTCTGTCACACCGTGAGCTTTTGAGCCTAAAGGTTGCCCACTGCAACTGATTTTCATTTTGAGTGTTTATTGCCTTCTTTGATTGTGTTACTTCTAGAACTTGCTTTATACCATTTCAGAACTACATGTTATATGATGACACGAGAATGATTTAGGCATTAGGATTAGCCTTATAGCCTATAAAATGACCACATCCTTATACATGTTATATTTCCCCTAGTGAACCATTTTGAGCTTTATAATAAATATATAAAAGACATTTTTCTTCATTAGCCAATTCCAAAGAACCTTAGCTCATAAAAAGAAGCCTTTTAACCCGTCCTTGAGTCAGTAGAAGTCATTATTTTATTTATCTGTGCAAGATGACCAAAAGTGATGAAGTATGGGTGAGATTGGAGTTGAAAGATGATTGTACAATTGGTTTTCTTTGAGTGAAGAATTGTTTGTGATCAAAGGATGTGAAAATGAAAAAAAGAACAAAATGATATGTTCTAAATTATAGGTTGAAAATCTTGATAGTCCAAATTTTGGTGCTCATTTTATTCTTAAAATGATTTTGTGAGCAATGAAGGCATGATAGAAATTTGGTGATTATGGGAAGAGTACCATTGAGGGTTGTGTGAAAATGAGGAGCAATCTATTCGGTTTTACCGAAGAAAAAAAGAAAAAAAAAAGAGAAAAAAAAGAAAAAGGAAAAAAATGGAAAATGAGACTTTGAAGTTGTTTTGGGAGTTTATAGCGAAAAGGATGAGGAAGAATGAAGAAACGATGGTTTGTTTTGGTAGAGTTCATTGTATTGGTTTACAAGTTCTTGCTCTTGATATGGTGAAATTATGGCTCTACTGATTCCTTGGACTTTATTTGTATTTCCTTATATCCTTTCTTTCTTAAACCACATACCTTTGGCCCCATTACAACCCATAAATAAAGACCTTTTGACTCGTGTTCTTCATATAATGTTGGTAGTGAAGTTTTGGTGGACAAGCAAGCCTATGGCAAGTGCACTCTCAATAGGGGATGGTTTGTACCTTTCTTATACATATATTTGTGATAGATTGAGTGAACAACCGTGAGGACTACTATTCTCTATTGTCTTGTGTGCGTATGACTTTGAACTCTCATGAAGTATTATGTGTTCACAAATTTCTTTGAATTGAATTCCTAGTTCACATGGTTATGGTTGGTAGTTTTACTTCATTGCATAAGTTTGCTTGGGGACAAGCAAAACCTTGAGTGTGGGGAAGTTTGATAAGCTTAATTTCTAGGCATTATTTAGAGTAATTTTAGTTAGTGAGTTGCATAAATAAATTAAGTTTTAGGGTCGATTTTATAATAAATATTATATTATCTATATGTTACTAGTGTAGATGGGTTTTAATAAGTATTTGGTTAATGTTGCATTTTTAGTAATATAAATAGGATTTTAATTATAGTAGTATATTTATTTGTTAGTCTTATATTCAATTTTAAATAAGTGTTTTAATAATTAAGTTTTATTATGTTGGGATTAGGTTATAATTGTTTGGCTTTAATTTAATTTTGTTTTCTTTTCTTTTAGGGATTTGTGCAGCATTGAAAAAAGATAGAGATTAAGGTTGGCTTTGGTTTTTATTGGGGGTTCGGCAGAACATAGAGAAAAAGGAGCAAAAATAAAAGCAAGGGAAAAGAGGAGATAGTCGAAACAGAATAGAACGAAAGAAGAGAGCAACGGGCGGCGTACGTAGCAGCGGCAACGGAGCTTCAATCGCGGCTATCTTCTTCTTAGGCTTGAATTATTTTCCTTCGTCTTTATTTTTATTCTTACTTAAATTTCCAGAATACTATTTATTGAATAATTTATGCATTTAATTATTATGATTATTGGCTAGAACTTAAATTAGGGATTTGGATTAGCCTAAATTAGATTAATTGACTATTATTTAAATGTGTTGATTCTTCTAATTTCAGTTTAATAATTGAATTTGATTATATTTATTTTATGTATTTTAATTGTGGATTGTGTGACTGGCCATTGCATAATTCTAATATTAGGGTTCATGAGAAGAACTGACAGGTGAATTATGAACCTAGAACTCGTAAGATAAACACAATTGACCTAAACTAGACATAGCTTTAGGTATTTGTGGTGATATTTGATTGTTGCTTAATGAGTTTAATTAATGTTGGTGAGATATCGACGGATGATCACAGTTAATTGGATACAACCTAGTAGCTCGACGGAGTATTAGGATATATTTGAAACAATCATCACTATAGTCATAAGAATTAATACTTAGGAGAGTTAGTTAATTATCTAATAGGTGAACCCAAATCCCTAGTCTTCTCTCAATTGAAACTTCCTTTATTTTGAATTCATAAAATATTCTTTTTAATCACATTAATTCTATTTATTTGAGATTTTCCTTATCAACAATTTGATTATTAAATATAACAGTTAATAGTGTTCTTCGTGGGATCGACCCTGGAATACTCCAGGAATTTATACTGTGATTGACTCTTTGCACTTGCAGATTATAGCAATCAATCTACATTCTCATTGATCCATATGTTTGAGCCAATAGGCTGGTTACAACAAAAGTAAAGTTTTGCTAAAAAAAACGCATAAAATAATAATAATTATTATTAGGACTCTATGTATTTGAGTCACACTATGACTCCCTATCTTAGCTAGTCTCGTTATGATTCTCTCTTGTATATATTCCTTCAGTTTGTATAGTTGTATTTAATGTGAATTTAATACAGTTCATACGGTTCTCATATGGTATCAGCTAGTTAGGATTTTTTCGCTCCCATGGTTGACGGATCTGTTAATTCTTCGAAAAGACCGTTTCTGATGTTATCGTTACCTCCTCCGTTTCTGTGGCTGTCAATTTGTTTTCTACTGCACATCACTTTATCAGTATTAAGCTAACCCATAAGAATTATTTGCTTTGGAGGACACAAGTGGTGCCCTTTTTACAAGGACACGGGCTCATGGGGTTTGTTGACGAAAGCGACCCATGTCCGGCGACTTTCCTCCTTGTCACCGCCGATGCCATGCCGCAACCAAACTCAGCCATGCTGTGTGGTTTCGTTATGATAAAGCATTTATGTCAATGCTAATTTCCTCTCTCTCGGGGGAAGTCATGGACATTGCCGTTGGATGTCGGACGTCGGACGTCACTGGAGGTTTGGGAGTCAATAGAGTTGTCACTGGCCTTCTCCTCACGTGCCCGGTCACTGCATCTACTCGGCCAACTCCAATCTCTTCGTCAAGGAGATTCGTCCATGGCCGATTACATAGGCCATGCACGTGTTATTACGGAAGACATAGCATTGGCCAATTACTGTCACTCTTGGTTCGTGGACAACCCGTCTTTCTCACGGAATTGGCTAAGTTTCTTGGCATGCAAGAGTTTATTCGTAGCGCCGACGGCGATAGAGCATCGATGGCTGTATTTACTGCCCAGCGGGAAGGGCAATCTCGCTGCTCCAATCGCGGTGGTTGCGATATGCAGAATAAAGGCGGCGGCGATGGGCAGCGCGATGGAGGTGGGCGGCAGTAGGGCGGATGTGGCGACGGTGGTCATGGCCGAGGTGGCCACAACGGCTGCAATGGTCAATCCAAATGTTAGATTTGTGGTCGCAATGGTCACACCGCTCTTGGATGTTACAACCGTTATGATCCCCCTCCTCAAGCCAATTTAACATATCAAAACAATGGTTCAGATATTAATTGCTCTCAGGTATGGATCCCTGACACTAGGGCAACCAATCATGTGACTCTAGATATTGCAGCCTTATCTACATCTGAAGAGTATGCTGGTAATAACACTTTGCGTGTTGGTGATGGTAAGGCATTATCTATTAGTCATGTTGGTCATGCTTCCTTTAAAACCCCATCTAGGTCTTCTCAACTATCCAATATCCTTCTTACTCCCAATTTGTCTACATCTTTATTGTCTGTTCAAAAATTCTCTTAAGATAATAAGTTTTTTTTTTATTTTTTATTTTGTTTCACCGGTCTTTTTTTGTTGTCAAGGATATCAATACCAAGAAAGTGTTGCTACGGGGCAGTAGCTCAGGGGGTTTATACACACTTCCTATCACTAGTTCATCTCCCTCTGCATTTCTTTTCGCTCGTGCATCTGCGTCAGTGTGGCATGATCGCCTAGGACATCCACATCATCGTGTTTTACATCGTATTCTTCAGTCTTGTTCGATTAGTAGGTCTAGCAATTCTATTCGTTGTAATTTCAGTTTATGTAATGCGTGTCAATTGTGCAAATTTGTGCGTTTCCCATTGCCACGTGTTGAGTCATCTACTTCCAATATTCTTGACTTAATATATGCAGATATTTGGTGTCCAGCTCCCTTATTATCTATAGATGGTTTCTGTTATTTTGTTATTTTCGTGGATGACTACTCTCCTTACACTTGGTATTTCCCCATGAAATTAAAATCTGATCTATATCCTATCTCTGATAAGTTTCATACTATGGTTGAACGTTCCTTCAATAGGAAAATTAAAGCCATGTCTTTACAATATAAATTTTGGGATTTTGCTTTTGAGACTACAGTTTATTTAATCAATAGGATGCCATCTATTCTATTGCATAACCCATCTCTGTCATATTCTTTTCTTCGTGTCTTTGGGTATCTATGTAATCCTTATTTGAAACCATATAATCGTCATAAAATGTCTTATCGGTCGTCTCCATGTGTCTTCTTAGGATATCATGAGTCGTTTCGGGGGTATAAGTGCATGAACTTACAAACTAATAAGATTTATGTGTGCAGGCATGTGCGGTTTGATGAGGCAGTATTTCCTTTTGCTACTAAGAATGTTTTGCAGCCACCTCCACCATCGCAAAATAGTCCGCGGGCTGAGTTAGTTCTCCATCCCACTCCTACCGCCACTATCGTACCTGGACAGCCCCACCACACTGTCCTAGATACGGTCAGCGACGGTGCTACTGCACCGGAACAGTCCGGTCCTCAGCTGGCTGCCCCCTCTAGACAGTCCGGACATTAGGCAAACACAACGCACGGGCAGCCTACTGCCTGGCC